GGTACTAAACACGGCCACTACTGATTACCTTGAGCTGAGGGTGTGTGGAGATGAAACTACAAATCAGGAAGATGTTCCTGTTAGCTTTTATGAGTTGTATGTCAAATGATGATAATATACTGATGAACAGTTTAGATAGTGTGTGTGTAGTTAGTTAGTATAACAGTAGACTAGTTGTAGTTAGTTAATAGTTGTTTTTGAGTTTTGAGTAGTTGATTTGAAAATAATTTGAAAGTAATACATAATACAATACAGGGCAGCTAGCTGGGTAATTCTGTGTATTTTGTTTTGAAAGTTCCATGCAATATACTTATTTCAGTCTGTTAATAAAACAGCTCATAATTTCAATAATAAATTTCAACATTATACCAAAGACCTTTCTTTGCAAAAATAGTGCAAAAAATTGAAAACCCAGAGAAAATTGATTACTAGCTCTAAAGTTGCATATTTTACTTGTAAATGGTCTAAATGATATTTTTGGCTACTGCTACAAGCACATGATACATGCATATGCATACATGATATGCATACCGTATAGCGAGAAATTTTGGAGGGAATTAAATTTGGCGAATTTGGCGTTATGATAGCCAATCGCCAAAATTAAATCCGCCATTTTGAGCCATTATACGCATGCTCAATTGGCACGTGGCTACCAATTTGCCAAATTAAAATCCGTCAATCACCAAAATTTAGCAATTCGCCAAATTTTAGTCCCTCCAAAATTTTCCGCTATACGGTACATGATATGCATATGCATATATGATACATATAAGCATATGCTACATGCATAGTTCTGCCTGTGGTGGTCGGGGCAACCACCTCAACAAATGAACCAACCAGTTCGTCACTAAGACCAACCATGCAATTAATACTAATAACCATACATAAAGCATGATATTGTAGTCTAGTATGGTGTACATAAATTTAAAAGGAACAGTATTAGTCTCCAACCACCTATAATTTCAGAATCCTGTACATGTGTACAAGGTTTTGAAATTGGAGGTGGTTGGAGACTAATATTGTTCCTTTGAAATTTATGTACACCATATATTTATTTTAATACTGCATTAATTTTGTAATTTTATTTAACTTTTCTCTCTCTCCCTCTGTCATTTTTTAGGTTTTACATCAGGTTAATTATCACAGCTGGCAGATAATTCTGAACTAATGGAGAGAGAAATAATATCAGTATAGAAATTTTGAGCCAATTCTCGCTTAAATTTTTTAAGTTTTAATGATCACGTCTCCGTACTTCTAGTCAGTTATTTCATTTTGGTTGGATACTCTACTAGGTCAGTGATCATGTGACAGTTCACATGGTAACTTGTAATTATCAATACACTCTATTTTAGCTGTTGATTTTTGAATGGTAAAGTATTTGCCAATTGCTAATTTTTTGTAATTGGCAGGTTCTAAGTTTGTATTGTACTTGTACATGTACACGTTCATGTTTTTGTACAGTGCTAAATGGAGCCATATGTACATTGCAAGTAGCACACAGTAATTATACTTCATAGTTGGAGTTACAGTGTGTTACATCAGAGGATACTGTAGTCCTTCATAGTCATGTGTACTGTACTAGTGACACTGACACACTCCACAACCTGTCAAAGTTGAAGATGCTTCTCTTAATTGTCTGTGTTGTGACTGTTGTCCTAGTTCATCTGTACTGTCCCTCTCTCCTTTTAGAAGCACCTTTAGGATGCTCTTTACTCCATTCCACTGTCCATCTGCTGTCTACTGCAGATCAAACTTTTTTACTTTCTCACCTCTTTGCTTAAGAAAAGTATCACTGTATAGTGGAAAGATAAATGATACTAATTATTTTGACATTTTCTTTAAATGGCCCATAACTGGACAAATTGAAGTCAGAATCAATTCAAACTTTCTATGCAGCATAAGGATGTCAATATGTATCAGAAAATGTAATAAAAATTGGGGGTAATTTTGGAGCTGTTTTTTTTGGAATAAACGATGGGACTTTTAGCCAATTTTTGAGTGAATTAAAAAATTTATTCAAAATTCAAATTCATTTGGAATTAGCTCAGAGTTGATACACAGTATAAGGACATGTTATAAGAACATGTATATGCATCAGAAAAAAAATTTCAAATGAAGAATTCTCTTTTTGTGACTTTTATCGAAATTTTTGCCCTAATTTTTGAGAAACTTGACAATCCACTGACAAGATGCTACATCAGTGTAATAGTAGAAGCAAGATAGGACAGGCATTTAATTTTAGTGTACCATTTAAGAACATTCTAGATTATTCTTTTTCATTTACTGGACTATTCCTTTGTTGTGTGGACTATTCTTTTTGTTTACTGGAACATTCTGGGCTAGAAGGTTCCAGATTTGTACCTTGCTATAAATATGTGTGATTTTTTGTAAATAGTGGGTTCCTTGCTTGGTAAAAACATATTATTAAACCACTTACTTCTGGTGAACACTGTTACAATCAGCACAATGCCAAAAATTTCTTTTTTGTTTATTATTATTATTATTGTTTGTTTTTACATTTTAGATGCCATCCAGAGTTAATTGGTGGGTCTGGAATTGAATTAAAATATGACAATAAAAACCAGTAAGATACGAGCAATAATTAATTAATTAATTGTTATGTTCTCATAAATTGAAGCTACAGAAGAGACGATTATGACGAGACTCAGTAAGCTCCTTCTTTTACTAGTGTTAGTAATAATCTCCCTATCAGTGGAGATGGAGCTGGTAAGAATTAATGTTATCTACTGGTGACCCAGTCATTTATTCTTTCCAATAGTCATTACAGTACCTCTAGGCTCCTATTTATACTACAGCAACATTTACTTGTAAAGGAACTTGAGATATACTGAACTGGCTGGTATGAGGTGATGTACTAACTGACTTCAATAAACAAGAAAGACAAATAACAGTTACTACCACCAGCTACCACTAATGCTGTTAATAATACTAACTTCTCATCAGTACTGACAGTTAATGCTATACCTTCTTGTATTGATGGACTGGCATTTAGCTGTGAAGTTATTTCTTTCAGTCCATATGAACGTGCTATATCAAGTGATGTACTAATTGTCAGAGGTTAGTTAATAGATAGTATATTTTTTGGGAGGAAAATTTTGCGGCTTTCGTTTTTTAACAAAAAACCCGCTAAATTAAAAACCAACAAACTGCCTTTTAGTTGTAATTAAACTCAGCAAATCGTGAAATTTTTCCCCTCCACTCGAGCGACACATTGCAAAATTTTGCCTGCAAAATATACCGTCAATACAAAGAAGATCATTAATAATGATAATGATTATTATGTACTGTAATGTCACTAATGTGTTAATAGGTATCACCGGTGGAAGATATTCAGTATAGTTTTAGAAGACTAACAATGAACACCTTGCTCAGTTTGGAGCTGCATGGCCGGAGGAGATGAGGACACTGAGTTTTGTTGGTATAGCACAAGTGATCAGTAATGAACAGAAGACTTGATTAAAAAGAACCATAAAATCATGATGGAGGGTATCAGTAATGAGCAAGACTTTCCTGTTATGAATAGAGATATTGTCAATCCCCAATCAACTTCATCCTGGCTGTCATTTATTTCTGCTTCACACTGAAATCATGTGCATGCCATTAGCAATGAAGAAGAATGAATCTCAAAACCTGACCATAATTGTCATTATACTTGCTACTTGGATTCATTCCAAAGTTTCTCTTCATTTGAAAATGGTAATGGCAGGACCAGTCGACTCCTATATTTGGTCCTACTTGCTGATGAAAGATGACCTGCTACCAAACCACTGACTATTTTGCTGTATCTCAAGGATGGAAAGGATTTTTAAAATCTGAATCAATGGTGCATTATATTTTACATGAGATTGAAACTTATAGAACTAGAAAAATCTGCATGCAGAATTGAGAATCATTTACTCATTATCAAATTTACTCATTGTCTTTACTTACATGCACCACGTAATATCAATCATTGTTACTTATGTAAAATATATATATTAATGCTGGTGATCAATGTGAAAAAGTCAAAAGTATGATTATAAATAAGAGTGCCAAAGAAATGACGCATCTCAGTTTCGTGAACTCATCTCCTTTTCTTTGTCTGAGGTGGTGCAAAGTGATAGTCTATTACAGCATTAGTGTTGAATACCTTGAACAATATATAAAGAAAAGTTAATATCCAATGAAATTGCGGTATTTACAGTTTGAAAGCATAAAATTAAATTTTTGTAAGCTGTTATAATAAAATCATGGGATGCATACAGTATATATATCCTTTGCTTTTAAACAATAAAAATTTGCATTTACAGTGTCATTTGCACACCAGTCAACTACACTAGAGAACATCTAGTAGTCTTAACTTTATTACATGTAAATGAAACTTGTCCATTCATACTCTTGTTTTATTTTGTCTCTCATGCCCTCATGGTTACCACTTGCCTATCATCTTGAAAAATATCATGTACAGGATTGAATGTTTCACTTTTTGATACCTTTCAAAATTATTTTTAGTCCTAAATTTACAGAAAACAACATGTACTAAAATAAAAAAATGAGTTAATTAAGCATCACTTTCAGCATCACTACTATAATCAATCAGCAAATCTAAACTCAAATTAGAAGGAGCACTTCTAATACTGGTATTATCTGATGCTGCAGTATAATATCCACTTGTCAACGAAAATACACTAGCAGCATCATCTTGTTGTTCTGTGTAGTATTCTTTTAAATAACTACTAAGTAATAGAGATATTTCGATGTTTTCTGCACATTTTAATGCAGTGTGGCCTTTATTAGATTTAATAGTTGGATCTGCTTTTAATTCTATTAATAACTTAACTACTTCATAATGTCCTTTAGCACTGGCAATTATTAATGCAGTATGACCTTTTTTATCCTGAATATTGGGATTGACTTGTGCTTTCAGCAATAGTGCAACTACTTCAGAGTGGCCACTTTGACATGCCAACATCAAAGCATTTTCTCCATCTTTTGTTTGAACATTAGGATCAACTTGTTCCTTTAGCAATAGTTCAACTAGTTTTGTGTGACCATTTTGGCAAGCCAACATAAATGCATTCCAACCATCCTTGTCTTGATAATTAGGATTAACCTTTTCCTTTAACAACAGTTTAGCTATTTGAGTGTGACCATTTTTACTGGCTGACAGAAAAGCATTCCAACCATTATTCTTTTGAACATTAGGATCAACATGTTCCTTGAGCAGCATTTCAATTATTTGAGAGTGGCCATTTTGACAAGCCAACATAAAGGCATTCCAACCATCTATGTCTTGAACATTGGGATCAACTTGTTCCTTCAGCAACAGTTCAACAATTTCAGTGTGACCATTTTGACAAGCCAACATAAATGCATTCCAACCATCCTTTTTTTGGACATTAGGATTAGCTTGTTCCTTCAGCAAAATTTTAACTACTTCTGTATGACCATTTCTACAAGCTGACATAAAAGCATTCCAACCATTATTCTTTTGAACATTAGGATTAACTTGTTTCTTCAGTAGCCATTCAATTATTGAAATGTGACCATTTTGACAAGCAACCATAAAAGCATTCCAACCATCTTTGTTTTGAACATTTGGATCAACTTGTTCCTTCAGCAACAGTTCAACTATTTGAATGTGACCATTTCTACAAGCTAACATAAAAGCATTCCAGCCATCTTTGTCTTGAATATTAGGATCAACTTGTTCCTTCAGCAACATTTTAACTATTTGAGTATGGCCATTTTGACAAGCTACCATAAATGCATTCCAGCCATCTTTTTTTTGTACATTAGGATTAACTTTTTCCTTCAGCAGCAGTTCAACTATTTGAGTGTGACCATTTTGACAGGCTACCATAAAAGCATTCCAACCATCTTTGTCTTGAACATTAGGATCAACTTGTTCCTTCAGCAACAGTTTAACTATTTGAGTGTGACCATTATGACAAACCAACATAAAAGCATTTACTTCATCTTGTTGATATTCAACTCCTTTGCTAATCAATAACTTAACAACTTCATAATGGCCATAGTAACTAGCAATCATTACAGCGTTTAATCCTTGTGATTCTTTCAGGTGAAGATTAGCATTAGCTTGTAGTAACATGAAAATGATTGATATGTGATTAAGTACACTAGCTCTCATTAGTGCAGTCCATCCTTTGTTGTCGTGAATGTCAACATTAGCTCCAGCAGATAGTAAACTGTGTACTATGTCATCTTGTCCTCTTTCACAAGCTAACATTAGTGCTGTCTCACCTTCTTCATTAGTATGATCAATATTAACAGTTTTAAGTTGAAGAAGAAACTCTACTGCTGTATTATTACCAGCAGTGACTGCCTCAAGGAGAGCTAGTTCAAAGGTGAAGCTCATATTCTCATCTTCTTGAAGGACAGGATGGTCATTAATGTATAAACTAAATATACCAATGATATGCATAAACTGTAACTTTCCTCCAGTATATTCTATTAGACTAGCAGCTGTAACATCATAAATATGTAACTTGATAACAACAGATCCTGGCTCAATAGTGATGCATTTCATTATTGATTGTCTCAGTTCTTTTGGTAGTAATCTTCCAATGAGAATATACAGTCCATTAATCTTAACATCATTCCAAGGATTTTGTAGCTCAATACAGATCAATGGCATATTCTCCAAACATCTTCTATAAGGTCCATACACTTTACGTAGCTTTTGTTTGAGGTCTTTAATCGGCTCTGAGGAACGAAATGCATTAGCTTCTAATGAATAAGTCTTCAACTTGTAAAGTAAATCTTTCTCATCGCTTATAAACTCATTACACATAGCAACTATCAGACTACAGTCAATGAAATCATAATTAAGGTAGACATGTATCTTTGTAAAAATGTCATCTAAATCATTATTTACTGTACCATGCTTCAAATTGAGCTGATGCTCAACCCAGTAGGATATTTTAGTTGACAGTTCATCATCATTAGTCACTTTTTTACATAATGTTAATTTTATTTTCATCATGATGTGAGAGAAATTTGCTTGTAATTTATCTAGAGAATTTTGAACTGTTTGATCATCTTTTGGAAAAAATATAATTTCAGTATAGCCTATAAAAGTTAACAATATCAGTCACTTGACTATAATAATTATGCATAATAAATAAGTGATTTTAATTTATTAGCTCAATGACTTACCATCAGATTGTATAGTGAGAAAATCGCTGTATATGTGATCTTTAATATCATGAACTAGTTTATTTTTTTCTATTCTAGTCAGTGCATCAATGACATCTCTCCATGTTGCTTTAGGATTGACTGACAACCATATTGAGTATAATGCTAACTTCCTGTCTTCAATTTTTTGATAGTCTTGCTCTATTTTTAAGATGTCATGCTCTTTCATTCCAACTAAACATAAACCAAATGATTTCCAGTCAACAAGTGGTTCAAGCCATTGAATTAATAAGGAAATATCAGGTTGATCATCAATCGTAGGACCAGGATTAAGTTCAATATCTCCTGATAAGAGGAGGAGCATACGTAGACAAACAATCAAGTAGAGATCATTGTAAATCAGGTTAGAACTGCTGCCTCCAGGTAAGACTACTGATTGGAGGTTATTTGTATCACTAACAGTAACACTAGTAATGCATTGTACTTGGTAGCAAGTACAAAGTTGCAACTGTTGTTTACCTGGAAAAATCACCAAGATGTGTCCTGATAAAGAGTGAGAGAGAAAGAGGAGGAGGAGGGAAGCAATAAAAGACAGAGCTGCAGGTAGTTTAGATGTCTTCTCTCCTAATGTAGTACTGCCTGACTTGCTATCTACTGCAGTTTTGAATGAGTGAGAGTGGCTGCCATTAGCTGGTCTACTATAGGCAGCTTGACAGTAGTTCCACAGTCCAATACTTGCTCTCCATTGAGAGACATCAATCATCTTGTAACTGCATGTATCGTAGATCTCACTATACTGAGACTATAGTGGGATCTGGCTGAATTCTTATTGCTTCAATGCCATGAATAAACTTATAGTGTGGATATACACACATGCATCTATTATTAGTCATGGTTTAGTCTCGCGTAGCCAGACCACACCCTCCATGGTTTTACTCTATTAAATATGCATGCTATTATTCTATTTTGACTAAATTTGGTCATTTCACTGGTGTAGTAGTCTAGTTTTCAAAACTGCTTTTCCTGAAATACAATACATGTAAAGAGCAACAAACAGGATGTATCAGTGTATATGTGTGTGGTATATAGCACCTCATAAAATCAGTTACTGGAACACACCAAAAACACTGAATATCTTTGTTAGGATTGACAAAAGGAATAGTCAATATTATTGTTATCAAGAGTGGATATTCACTCTTGTTGTTGTTATTGATTTACTATTCCTTTTGTTATTGTTATTGATTTACTATTCCTTTTGTCATCAATTCTCATATAACATGTAAACAAATTATTAAATTACCATTTTTAAATATTATACATGAATTTATTATAGAACAATGTCCATTGTCAGAGCAATCAGTATACATATACCTTTAAAATTAATAAAATTAACTTCTGAGCACAGTTAACTCCATAAAATGACCTTTTTAATGCATTCTATAAGAACTACATACATAACAGTTTTGAAATTAATTACAGCTCAATGTGTTTAACTCATTTTTACTATGTTGTTGCAATGACTACACAGCAATATTAAATTAAATTTTACTTCCTTAAATGGTGACCTCAGTTATTGTAAAACTAAGGTAACCACTTGTGAGTTGCATTTTTATAGTGCATATATACTTGTGCATGCATATAGCCAATACTTTATATAGTCAATATTGTATAAAAGGAAACATAACTAATATTATGCTCATTTTCTACAAAACAGATTTATGATGACCATCCATGCATGTAACATGTAAGGTGAAAATAAGTACACATACTTCACTCCAACAACAAGAGGGTCCCTAATTTAGTAAGTAGTCATGAAGGATCAAGGACTGCATTATATTCATTGGGATTGTAAACTAAGCACAAAATGACACTGAACTTATGGGGCAAAAGGAAAACTTGCAGTTAGTAAGTACCAAATATACTGGCAAGGAATTAATTTTGGCAACTGGCAGTTTTATGAAGAAATTGCCGATATACAATATAGAATCAGCCATTTTGTTTCAATCTGAGCATGCCCAATGGCATGTGGCCCCAAATCACCAATATAAAATTTGCCAATTAACTTTTCACAGACAAATTTGCAAAATATTATTCTCGGCAATAAATCATCTAGTACTATGCTTCATCGCTTAAAAACAAACCAGTGAATTTTAAGTAAAAATGAAAGCAAAGCAATAATAATAATTAACAAAAGTGAAAAACTATTTACTGTCCTTGTACCATTTCCAGCCTTACGCTGACATTGTCCCTAAGTGAATCAATATTGATGATTGGAAGATACACTCCTTTCTTCTTTCTCTTCCACCATTGACCTCTTTTTGATTCTTTACTTCCAATTTTGGTGTACTTGTATTGATAATGCAATGCCCTCACAAAACTGTAGGAAGACATTATGATAATTAACTTCTATTAACACTATTAACACTCTCACCCACTCCTCCTCCCTCTCTCTTCAATTGACATACTTTGGTGGCTTTTCCTTAAAAGGATTGTGAGCAATGAGTGAGTTAAGTGAAGGATCTCCAGCAAGTAGTTTAGCACAAAAGTGTAGCCATGGATTATGTTGATAATTCTATTAAAAATAAATCAAAAAAATTAATGTATAAAGCTACATTGCAGGTTTATGATATGATACTAAGCCAGTGTAAAATCATTAATTTTCAATCAAAAGTGTGGGCGATTTGACCATTTGATGCATGCTTTATGCTAGAGTAGAACCAAATTCAACTCCAGCATCAGTGTAATGTCAGGACTAGTGTAATATTGTAAACTGACCTTAATATAAGATCAGAACTACATGTATGTACATGTACATGTTTCAATTCAGTCTGTACACATGCACATTTCAGTTAACTAATGATTATTGTGTATTAATAATTTAATTTATTTTAATAGCGAAATTAGCAATTAATAGTACCTGTTATTATACATGCAAGTCTAAACTATTTGAAAATGTACCTGAAATGCAGCAAACCACATCAACCAGTCAAGACAATAATGATAAGGAGATATGATGCAAGGTCTTCTTGATACATTACCAGGCTTACAGTTGAACTCAATTTCCTCCCGTGGGCCCCCTCGCCATTCCTTCCAAAAATAAAATCATAGGTCTCCTCAGTAATGACTTCAGTTCGTTCCTTAGTAACACTAGGATAATTAAAGAGTATTATAACAATGACAAAAAGACATATTGTGTAGCGAAATATTTTCGTGACCCAAAAATCTTGTGAATCTATCATAAATTCACTTGTGGCTTTAATTTTTGTGATTTTATGCTTTTAAGCCATTATGAACTGTATTCATTCAAATTTCATAAATTTTATCAACGTAAAATCCACATAAAATTTTGGCTACAAAATTTCCCAATATCATGGTAATCATAATAGTTTACCTGCCAAAAGCTCCGTATGTGTTGATAATCCTCAATGGTTCAAAGCTAGTATTCATCTGTTGTCTACTGGAGAGAAGATTCTGTACAACAGGAATACTGAGATAAGCCAAGAGCAATCCAAAGCTAATAGATACAACCTTCCTAATGTAATAACCTTTTGGAGGACAATATTTGATAATAGTAATGTACACAGCACATTGTTGTATGCCATTTCAATGATATGCATAGATGTACATGTACATGTACACCTAATTAATGGTATGTTTGCTAAAAAATGTCTCTAAAAATTTGTACATGTACATGTATAAGTTTATGTACATGTACATGTGTATGTACACATGTAGCAAATAAAAATTACTGTAAATATCGACATACAAAAATGGAAAAGCTATAACTATATATTAAACTTTAAACTCAATCCAGGACACAAATGACCATTACTAATTAATGTGAAGTACTGTATACATGTATGAATAATATTGTATAAATA